GACCTGGAGGGCCGCGTCTGCCAGCCCCTCACCACCCACGTGCACTGGGAGCCCGCCACCCGTGCCATCCAAGGTGGGTACCGCGGGGACAGGGGCACGGTGCTGGGGGTTCCCCCTCTGACCCCCCTGCTCCTGCAGTGCTGCAGGACCTGCTGCTGCAGCTGGACAGCCCAGACCCCCAGCGGGTGCTGCGGCCGGACCTGGCCCGGGAGCTGCAGGAGCGCCCCGAGGAGTTCTGGCGCCGGGCAGAGGAACACACCCGGCTCCACGCCGAGCCGCGCCCCGACACCCGTACATGAGGCAAAAAATTCCCTCCATCACCTGCTCTGGCTCCGTGGTGCCTCACTGGGAGAGTGGGGGGCTCCAGGAATTGCTGCCCCCCACCCACGTGCCAGCCCTGGGGGATGTCACCCTCCTGGTGGCAGAGTCAAGGCTGTGCCCCAGCCTGGTGACAATGCCCAGACACTTCGCTTGGTGCCAGCATTCCTCCCTCCAGAGACGAGGCCACCACCGCCTGGCACCATGAACTTTACTGCTGGGTGACAGAGCAGGGGACAAAGAGGGGGATGGCACAGGTGGGGGGCCGTGGGGGACCCTCTCAGCGCTTCTTGGTCTTCACGAGCCCCTTGGCCACGAGGCAGCGGTACAGCTCCTGCACGTACGTGTACACACACTTGGCGTCGGGCACCGGCAGCCGCACCATGTCCTCCACCTCCAGCAGTGGGGCACAGCCTGCCCGCTCCCTACGGGAAGGGACAGAGCGGTCATCGGGGCCGGGGCTGGCCAGGGGGATCCAGGGGCCAGGGCTGCGCTCACGCACTCGGCAGTGGCGAAGGCCAGGGCAAAGTTCTCCCGGCGGGCGTTGGGCTCCAGGGCGGCAAAGTCGAAGGCGTCAGGGAAGAAGCTGTGCAGGAGGGCGCAGAAGGCCAGGCCGCTGCCCCAGCTCCCCGAGAAGTTCTGCACATCCACGTGCTGTGCAGGTGGGGGGGTCAGGCTATCCCTGGACCCCCCAGCGGAGCCTCACACTGCCCCCCACCTGCACTCACCGCGTACCCACGGGTGCGGGCGCGGCACCACTCCAGCAGCATCGTCTTGAC